GATTGGCTATATACTGTGCCGAGGGTTGGTTGTGTTCATCTGCTGTGTCACTTTTGGGCATGATAACAGGGCTTCATTTTATCAAACGTTGGCAAGTAAAAGCTGGCCATGGCGATCCTGGGTTGCATTGGATATTTTTACCGCCAGGAGGGGTTCATGAAACGATACACCGGTTGACTGTTTGTCCATATCACTGCCGCAATGTTGCCTGCTGGGCTCTGGAGCGCCTGATCTTGTAAAATGAAACGATTAATGGTCGACTGACTCGTATGGGGTTCTTTCTCTCTGCTCAAGCATGGAGAGAAATGGGGGGGACAGAAAGGTGCAAAATCTTCTTCTTTTTTTTTTTTATCTAGTGCTGGCAAGGCACTATCTACCATTTTGTATGCTGTGAATTTGTCACTACAGCACATGGGAGGGGTTGGGGGGTCTGAATACCCTATTCAGGGTAACTGAAATTAGTCTTTTAGTATGATTTTTTTGGAAATAAATTATTTCCATTTTTTTAAAAGGAAAACGGGTCATCAACCCTTTACTTTCTCTAATGTTCTCTATTCGAATGTGGTCCATGGTAGCAGTCATTTTGTCAGTGAACCGTCTCACTTTAGGAACATCTGCTTTGTCCCTGTTGAATATTTTCTTGGGCTTATTAATACGCTTGGTTAATAAGACAGAGCTGAGCGGCAATCTATAAAAACCAGAAAGGTGCCAGCTTTCATAAACTTGACACCACTAAGGCAAAATCCATTTGGTTATTATGGGTTGCATTGCACATGGCTCTCTTGCCTTGTGTTTTAATGCAAGGCAGGATAGCAACAGGTACACTTTGAGACAAAATTGCCGTATTCACGTTGCCCTTGGTAGTAATACTGGTTTATTGCTTTTATCCCTGCGGTAGATGAGTACTAGTCCTGCACATCAGTTCACTTAGTATGCAGCATGGCTGCATTGTGTACAATTTATTTAGGGCTGGATCCTTAAGGACATAATGTTTTCTTGCTGTTCACATGCAGAGAAGCTTGTGATTCCCTTTATATGCCCTGCATTTATGTTCACCATTGCTGGTGTCTAGGTGCCAGCAGCTGTTGTGCCCTACTTTTCATAGCAGTGTGGTCCTATCTCGTTGGGAGAATGGTGGAGACGCAGGGATGAGGGTCTGAAATTTCCAGAAATCCTCTGCAAGTCCTTGTAATGGTGCTTTAAGATAAGCTCTCTATACTCCTCCTCCTTTTTCTATAATTTATGCAGTGGAAAGGGTAAAATCATAGCCCAAAATATGCTTTTTTTAATGTATATTTGTGCTAAGAAACATATATCGCATAATATATAAAGATATATATTATATCAAGTCATGGTTAGCTGCTGACGAGCCTTACTTGGTCTACTTTTTTGTTTTTTATATCGGGATTTGACAGTGTGTAATTTTTCTTCATCTTTTTTGTTTACACCGCGCCTCCGTAGTGTTATATTTGACTTTAGACAGTTCAAGGAAACCGCGTGGTCCCAAATTATTGCACCTTGCCTAAAGGTTTTGTCGGATTCAAGCTACCTAAGCGCCAGCAAATGGACTCTCTCCATACAACTTGATCAAACCCCCTTCAAAACCTGGCGTGTACGTAAAAACTCCTGTTCTGGCATTTTTGCCCCAAGTTTAGAGACCAGTCTCCTGGATGGTCCACTAGGTTCTTCATTTTTACAACTTTCAGAATTTAGATGATGATCCCTTCGCTTTAGGAACCAAGAACCTGGTTAGTAAATCCTTTACCCATGATCCTTTGCCAACTTTGAAGTACCAACACCACCACAAGGTCACTGATCTGATCCTGTTCAACAAGCTGCTGCCCCGTGTCATGGAATGCTAAGTACGTAATCTTGCCCTTTATTATCCAACAAATCATATGAGAACATAGAAAATCAAAGAAAAAAAAAAACAAAAGAAGAAAATGTAAATTTTAAAACTTGAATGAGCGCTTGTATTATAACATTAATATTATTCAGAGTATCCATTCTTATTGCGTTTATAATTTGCTTATAGCTGTGCTTTAGTCATGGTAATTTGTGGTAATTCTACTTTTTTTTCCTTTTTAATACAAAAAAAAATGTATAAAAATAAAAACTTAAAAAGACCAAGTTTTGTGTTTTTCTTTCCCTTTCTTGTGTTCCATTTTCTGTCGTAATGGAAAGTATATATTTTACGGAGTTAATACATTTACGCTAAAATTTTTGACTAGGCTTTTGAATTGTACTGGCTTGCTGTATTGTATTCTTTTTTCAGGTTCTTCTAGTTTTCCCGCTGACAAGTTGGAGTCCCCAGCGCAGCTTCAGACAAAACAGCAATAGACAACTACTATTTCACCTTTTGGATTTGCACAGTAAGGCCTCATGCACACCGGCTTCTAAATACATGTATGCAGATGCGCTTGGAGGTCATTTCTAAATGCATCTGTAAATATGTTCTATGGCTGAATGCACACCTTCCCATTCACCAACATCTAAGTTCATTCAGTTTAGCTGTGTTTACACAAATAGGTGCACTCCTTTATGCACCTTAGTGCATGTTAACACACAAGCGCAACTGCATTTAAATGCTGGGAGAGATGAGTCTTGGAAGTAAAAGCTTTATACTATCCAGATCAATGTCTCCTGTATCAAACAAGGGAGGCCCTTTTGCTTAAATCCTTATTCCGACTGTATTACCGCTGAAATCTCAAGACACACGTTAATGCATCTCTTGTATTCATTATTACAGTATTAAATGTATTTGTATGCAAGTAATGTCGGTACCTGCATTTTGATTTGGTTTTAATTCTCTGTAAAGCAGCACTTAGAATGGGAGAGGGAAGGGAAAGACTGAGAGCCAGTTATGGGTGCTGAATGCTAATGTTCCAACAGAATAAACATTGGCAGAAGTGGGCAGAGAGTTGACCATCCGTTTTCTATTGCTCCCTTCATTGTGTAATTGGCACTTTGAGGGTGGGGAGATGATGGCAATAAGTTGTGTCATCCACCTTGCTTTGCTGTGTGACAAAACTGCAAATCCCAACAATGGATGACTAGAAATAAAAATTCTTTGGCAGGGTAAACAGTTGTCATATATGCAGTTCACCTGTGTGTTTAAACTTCTTCCCTGGATCTGAGCATTTAACTAGGGATCGGCCAATTATCGGATCCACTGATAACCGGGCCGATATTCCCAAGTTTTTTAATTATCGGTATTGGTTACATTTACCAATATTATTGATAATAAACACTGTAAATTTCAACCAGTTCTTGAGGAACTGGCAGAAATTCACACAGTGGGTGCCGCTGTCTGGCCAGCATCCCTCGATAGCTGATCAGAGGATGCAGTCAGAAAATCTTTGTAGGAACAGAGCTGGCTGTCCAGTGAGCTGCCAGCACTGTTCAGCATTCTGACCGAATACAGACAAAACTAGCAGATTGGGTTAAGCAATAGCCAGCCTGCTATTGGCTATTTCAAACTGCAATAGCAGGCCGGCTATTAAACCTGCCTGCTGTCAATCAGTAGAGGAGCGGACCTGAAGGAGAACTTTTCTTGGCAGTGATCACGTCGGGTAAATGTCAAGCCTTAAAATTCCTTGCACCCACAAAATCGCAAAAAAACGCCCATAGGCGACGATTAAAACGCTTTTACTGTTCATCAGCTTGGTGTTATCAGTGATTAAAGGAGAACTATGGGGTTAGGGCTTTTCCCCATAGTTCTCAGGGTAACGGGAGGACACAAACTAGCGTCCTCCCTTCCCATCACCCTAAGCTCAGTATACCGCGAGCTACGGCTCGCGGTATACTGAGACGCCGCAGCTGAAACGGATCCCGACAATTCTGTCTGGATCCGCCCAGCTGCGTGAGTGACAGCTGGCTCTGCCTATCTAGAGGCAGAGCCAGCTGTACCCGTCCATTCCACCAGTCAGCGCTGGAGGAGGGGGGAATTCCCGATCTACTGAGCCGACCTGTGACTGTCTCATTGTCACAGGTCGGCTAGAACTATGAGGTGAGTGAAAAGCACTCACCTCATAGTTCTCCTTTAGGCTGCATTCCCACCTAAGTGATCGAAATATGCACGTTTTTTTTTCTCCGATTTGCGGCCCACGAAACCCACGTTTATGAGGGCTATCAGGCTGTATCCTAATACGCCCCAAAGAAGCTCCTGTACTTTGGGCGTAGGGCGTTTTGAAATACGCCCAGGTGGGAACCATGCCCATAGGAAATAATGGGATTTCACTTGCTGGGCGTTTTACAGCGCGTCCATCAGCGCTGTAAAACGCCCAGGTGTGAACCCGGCCTTAATGGCTCTAAAATTATTGCTCTCACTCCGATGTTTGCAGCGATATGTAATATGTGCGGCACAATAGGCGCAATTGTCTTTGCACGTAGGCGCATATCGGTGTGTATGTGGGGGGCGGGGACTTTAAATAATTTTCTTTTTCAATTTTTTTATGCTTTTGCCCCCTATGGGATAGCCAATTTACATGACGGGTCCTCTAATGTCACCTAGGGACCCCCAGAGAAGCTGATGAAGCAGAGATCGGCTTCTCTAGCCAGAGAGTGACACTGAATGCAGGAAGTGATGTAATCTACATCACTTCCTGCATTCGGGGACTGGAGAGTAGATCAAAGGGAGTTCGTATAATGAACTCCCTTTGATCTCCTGTCACAGAGCCGTGCCGGTCCTGGCCGCATCAGGCACAGCGGATCTCAGGACCGGCAACGGCAGTGACAGCTGCTAATACAAGCGATTTGAG